ATCCTCTGTTTCCACTTCACCACGCTTTGCAAACTCATAGTCCACACCAACTGCCCTTGCTCTTGCAATTAGATGTAGGCGGTCATCTTCCAAGTGGCTACTACTACTGATATTTACTTCTACAAGAGGATGCTATGTTCCTTGCGAGTTGCTTGGTCCCTCAATTGGGGCATTTCCTACTACAGGGGTGTCCCTTTTCATCTCTTCTCCTAGCGAATGAATTATCTGTATTAAATTTTTACAAACTACACAATATAAGCTAATTGGCACTAGTGGACTCTCTTTTTAGCATGCCTGAGGGATAAGTGAAGTTGTTTTGGGTATTCAATTACAGGAGAAGCATTAATAGAATTGTGACTCTTGGGCTAATAGATGCAGGCTAAAGCCTGCCTACCTAATGGTGTTTGTGTCACTGATTTCAGAGCCTGATTTCAAAAAGGAAATTCACAATATTTACACTTTCCAAACCTTAGATAAAAGAACAAGGCTTGAAAATCATTTTCTAAGTGATGATAACTACTGACTGAGATTTCATAAATCAGTCACCAGTCTTGCGATGTAATGTATAGATCTTGACTATCACACGCTTTACCAACATTACCTCATTTTCCAAAGAAAACTGCTACAAATTGTACTTGTAGAAAGGACCTTCATGCTGTGCTACAACTATTATGAACCTATTCTCACCATGGAGCTATCCTAAAGTGGCTGTACTTTTCTCCGCACGTCCGCTCCCTTATTTGCAAGGATCTTATACAGGCATTTGTTTTCACGATTCACTACAGATATTGTTATCACTTGTTTCCCCTTTTCTTGTTCATTTATATTCAACAAAATACTTAACCCCCATTCACACCAAAGCTTAAAGAAAGTTGTTTATTAAAACACAGTTAAAATTGTTTGCTTTATAATAGCTGCTTACTGACTATAAGTTTCTTGCAAATTATCAGAATGGTTGAAGGTCATTATTTTGAATCCTGTGTGAGAATCTGAGTTCCAATTTTCTGTGTCTGTTTTTCATTTTAATACATGTTTAGTTGGTGTGAATGGGGCATAAGTGTATAAGTAGTCATTCACCTTTGAGTACAATTTGTGTTTTTCAAAAAGTATCAAAACTGAATGAGCCCTTTAAAGGGCAAATGCAATTTGAGCTTTTTGAAAAACACATGAGTGCAAATAAATTCCACATTGAGTGAGAAAAGTCATATGATTACTTTTTAATAATATACATGAAATAATTTACAAGTACTTTCCTGCCTTTGTGTGCTTTAATTTTGCAATGTTCAGGCTATAGTTAGCTGTTTGGCTTTAGCATCTCAAAATCAAGGAACTGAATTGTTTATCCCTAGTTATGGACAGGTGTATCCTTTCTCTTTCAATGCCTGTTCATAGCTGTCATAATAATTTTCAGCCTTTTTTGGGCTCAAAGTAGCCCACTTGTTTGTTTTTATTACTCATGAGTCTCGCTGTAGAAGGACTCGACCAAGCAGTTTGTTGGAGTCGGCATGCTAGAAACTCTCAATTTTCTCTGAAAATCCTTCCTCTTCGTACAATAGCTTCAAACATCAAATCAATATATGGTCCTCTTTACAATGTTTTGGTTTGGTTTTTGTTTTCAATTGTTCTATAGTATTTTGTCGTAACAGAACTAAATTTTGCTTTGTATGCCAGCTATTTTTCCACTCGCAAACTTCATGTTACCTGCCTGGCTTCCCATGGGCTGACCAGCAGATTGTGGCACCTGATTGGTTCTGATATATTTCTATTGTTTATGAGCTAATCACATTTTTTCATTCTCTGAGAAAAATTTTTTTAATTTTTTTGCATAATTTTTCCTGATTTTTGCACTGTGTTTACTAAAATTTGCACTGCTCTAAGCCAATCAGTTTCAAGAAATTTTCCATGTATATTATAATTTATTATCTTTCATAATAAACATCATCTTCTGTAATCAATTATATCAGTACCTGCTGAATGACTTTGCTCTTGTTCACCTAGCAGACAGCATTCTATGCTACATTCAACTTGGAGGACCTCACTTTCATGTTCTTCCAAGGCTAAGAAGATAAGATTTTAAGCATCTTTAGTTTATAATAATAATTAACAATTATTCCTCGAGCCCAAATGGGCTCTGAGTCAATAGACTCATCTGACTTTGACTCATCTGAATCTCACTCAGAGGCCATGAGGGCGAGAGGAATAATTGTTTTAGTAAAATCCAACTAGTTGGTAAAAAATATACCACTTTTAGCTAGTTAAAGCTAGACGTAAATCCTTTTTCGCCGCCAAAAATCCAGCGCCTTTCGCTACTAGTGGGCTATAACATATAGCCTAGTAGTAGCGCAACCAATCACAATGCTGCAATGATAATAGACCACTAGCTGGATTTTACTAATCAATGATAATTTATGTTCATCGTGAAATTCAATATTTCCCTATCTCACAATAGTGAATACACACAAACCTTATTCGATGGTACGGAGATTGTGCAAGTTGCGTAGTATCTTTCTGAGCCAGCCACAGGGGCGAGAAAAAATACAAGCAATGAGCAAAATGTCTGGTCGTATTATACGCTAAACCACCAAATAAGAGGTTTACTATTTTCCACTACAAAAAAAAATTGTTATTTTGCGATAGGCTTCTATTTTTTTGGAAAGAGTATTAAAAAACATCCTGATTCCCTCTGTAAGAATGACAATAACAATGAGGAAAATGTTTGTGCATATTATGTCAGGGTGTCCAACGGCATGGTTGCTCAAAAAATAAAAAATAGGAAACTCAGGATTAAGAAAATAGGAAAAATACGAAACTTTGCATTAAAAAATAGGAGAAAAATAGGAAAATCAAAAGTACTTTTGTTGACAAAGATATAGCTTCCCTGCACCCCATAAGGGTTATAATAAAGGCTACGAGTCCTCAGATTCTATGTTCACAGGATTTAGATCAACTTTGGCGGCTAAGAAGGAGTGAAAATGATGAGTAACGTTTAGTTTATTGGCTCAGTTACGCTGTATTAAATCAGAATGATATAATTGACTACAGGTCGAGCGTGGTTCTATAATCAAAGGTGATCATATTGAAATTCCCTTCAAGTTGACGGCAATTCTTTCAAAAGCTTTAAAGAGTGAAATTTCTTAGGATAGAAATTTCTTACCATTGAGTTGTTGTTGAAGGATATATAGAAAAAAGTCCTATGGAAAGCTTTCCTTCCATTAATCTGCAATCGGTGAGTGGTTGAGAATATGCTTGTTTGAGTCAAAAGACCGCACAATAATTATTTTAAGTACGGAACCGGGCTCTCCGCGGTGTATACAAAATGACACTGATCTATTTGGTACCAGATTGTGAGTGTGTCATGGTTAAGTTCTAAGAAGAACATATAATAACACTCTGCTTAGCCATGACTGCAAGACCGATTTTGCAACCAAAATATTGGATCCTTCACCAGCTGCTTAGGTATAGCTGTTAACAAGGGTTCACCAAGAGAGCTACTGCCGTAAACTAAACTTTAGTCTGTTCTTTTCATGTAGCATCCAGAATCAGCTAGTGATTGGTTTTTTAAACAAGAAGCTGATTGGATGATTTATCTGGCCTGGGTTGTGAGAGGACAACTTGATCCTGTTTTCAGTTTCAAAGATGAACATAAAAGCGAGCAAGACTTCAAAATAAAATATAACATGTACAGATACTGAAATGCAGTTTCAGTGGGCTATGCAAAATATTTAACAATAATATTATTCCTCGAGCCCGAATGGGGTCTGAGTCAATAGCGGCCGAATGGGCTATTAATAATATTGACTCAGAGGCCATGAGGGCGAGAGGAATAATTGTTTTAGTAAAATCCAACTAGTTGGTCATAAATATCGAGAATAAAACAATTGTACCTATTTAAAGCTAGACTTTAATCCTTTTTTGCTGTCAAAAAGCCCCCACTTTTGGCTACTAGTGGGCTATAACATATAGCCAAGTAGTAGCTCAACCAATCAGAACGCAGCACTGATAATAGACCACTAACTGGATTTTACTAATATTCAATAGTCATGAGGACTATAACACTTCATACAATACATGCAGGTGCACGAGAAAATTATACAAAAAGTAACAAAACAAAAGTTAACAGAACTCTAATAGGCAATAGAGGTCATGGAAAGAACAAACGTAACTGTCATTTTCACTAATATTAGAACATCAAAGTCAACATGATACTTGCTTTATGATAAATTTCACTCAAAAACACATACAACTACAATTACAGGGTCCGAAATTAACTTTTTAATATGGGCGCCAACTGGCGATCAAGTATAAATTTTTGGTTGCCAGAGGGCATATTGTGGTTGCCAAATACTTCCCCTCCCTTTTTTTCAAATAAAAGTTTCAACACAAATAAAAAATGCATGGTATGGACGTTTTTATGGTCAAAAATTGCACTACTTCCGCTCCCGATACCAGAAAGCAACCGTACGTGTACGACTGAAGTCTTATTTTTTTCCAGAAATTGCTTTTTGAGAACGTAGGAACAGAAAGCTGTCTGCCCATGACTACACTGATAATATCAAAACTCTATTTTCTTCCGATAATGACCACGAAACACGAAACATAAACACGAGTCAAGCTGCCATGTCTCTCGTACCAGGCCACATTTGTGCCACATTACTCGTACCAATCCACAAAGTACATAACGTACTTACCGTATTTCAGCTGAAAACAACATGGCGGCTTGGAAACGTTCAACTCGTATTGATTGTAGCTGTTGTTGAGGTATTAGTACAGGAAGATTCGTTTCACTTTTAATTTAAAAATATCAGCAGGACAAAAAGTAAAACACCTGTTGGCAAATACCTTCGAGGCTTCAATTCTTGACCAGTTTCTCCGAACGTTAAAGTCCACGATAACAACCAGCTTTACAAGTCGCTAGCTGGCGACCAGCTATGAAATTCTGGTCGCCAGGACTAAAGTTTTAGTCGCATTGGCGACCAGGAAGGCGCAATTTTGGACCCTGCAATTCCATTTTCAATTTTGTTACAAATTTTGGCTTCACCAGCTAAAAAATAGGAAAAATAGGAGGTTTTAGTTTAAAAATAGGAGAAAATAGGAATAGGCTCAAAAAATAGGAAAAAATAGGAACTGGACACCCTGTTATATGCTAAACTATTGAATGAGAGGTTAATTATTCTACCTACTGCAAAAAAATGTTATTTTGGCTTCTATTTTCTGGTAAGAGTATCCAAAACATCCTCATTCTGTCTGTGCAAATGCTCCTTTTGCATCCACTGGTATTCGCCCTGTTGTAAACCGGTTAAACCAGGACCCTACAGTGTATTATGGCCTCATATTTTGCGCGTTCTCTTGACCTTCTATAGTAAAATGACATAACAGTGGAATAATAAAAGGTGTTTTTGAGCATTTATTGGGGATATTTTTGTCTTAATTTGGCTATTTTTGCAAAGTACAACATTTTCAATACAGTACAAACTAGCGCCTAAGAACCTAGCTAAATTTGCCAGTTAGGCCCCCTCTATTTTCTTCAATCTATAAAAGAAAATTCCATACACTTATATTTTAGAAAAATACCCAAATTTTTTTGCAAATAAATATTTTTCCAAGAATTTCTTCAAGCAAGGGAAATGCGGTTTCTTACACGCGAGTTTTTAATGTATTTTGACCGGTTCGAGTTAAAATTTGTTTGGCCTGTCAACATGATCTGCACTGTTCAAAAATCATTTCGAGCACTGGCTTAATGACCTCCTTATTTACATAATATTATTCTTACACACTCGAAGATAGGAATCTACAAAATGGAAAAGCCTTAAAGGAATAGCTATTTCAATTCGAGAGGAAGAATAGCTCTTTCAGATTTTGTTAAAACACCCTAAATAAAATAAATAGAAGTGAACCCGAACAATCTGCATCAAATGAGCTCTTTACGCATGCGCAGGCATTGGAAAAACCAATGAAGACTGCCGAGCATACAAAGAAGAAACAGTGACATCCCATAGACTTTCAAGAAAACATAACAACGCTTTCACAGGACGTTAATTTAAGATCATCTAACACTGAATAAATTTAAGTGCGGGATTTTAGCTTACATTAGCTTACAGGAATGACAAACAACAGTCATATTCATTCAGTGATTCATTGCACTGTCGGATAGGATAAAAAATGGCAATGGTTATACTTTTCGATGAAATTACATAACTTGCACATTTAAGATTACCTTATTTTCCAGCCCAGAAAGAACGAAAATACATTGTGGAGCTCTTTTTAAGCTTATCTCGTTCAAGTGAAATTAAATTTCATTGCTGCGTGACAAAGTGACGCGTGGTATGGTCATAAAACCTGATGCAATCACGAAGAGGTTATTGATTAAACAAACAAAACTACAACTAATGTACTACCTCCGTGTAAGCGTCCTGACACTGAATAAATTTAAGCCGGGGATTCAAGCTTACATAAGCTTACAGGAATGACAAACAACTGTCACAAGAGGAGTTATTTTACATTAAGTCATTCAGCGATTCATTGCACAGTCGGATAGGACAGAAAAAAAATAACAATGGTGAAACTTTTCGATGGAATTACATAACTTGCACATTTAAGATTACCTTATTTCCAAAATCAGAATGATTGAAATAAATCGAGGAGCACTTTAAGCTTATACTCTATCTCATTCAAGTAAAATTGCATTTCAACGCTGTGTGACAACAAGTCCTGATGCAATCACGAAGAGGTTATTGATTAAACAAACAAAGCTGCAACTCACGTTCCACGGTAAGCTTTTTTGAAAAAGTAATTTCGCAAAAGCCACAACGCCTTGCATCCGATACATATTTACAGTAAGCTAACCTCGGCAAAAAGCAAGGTTAAATTTGAAGATAGCCACTTTTAATACCTTCTCCTTCCCGTTCGTCTTCGTTCAGTTGACGCCTTTTTTGCTTTGCTGCTTCTCGCTCCGTTCCGCACCGCTCGTCGCTAATTCGGCATCTATTTTCTCTTGCTCTCTCTCGTTCATTCTCCAGTTGCTCTTCAGTGAAATTTTGTCGCCTTTCCCTTTCTCTTTCTTGCTCTTTCCCTCGTTGCTTGTCACTAAAATTTTGCCTCCTTTCCCTGTCTCTTTCTTGCTCTCCCTCACATTGCTCATCAGTAAAATTGCGCCTCCTTTCTCTATCTCTTTCCTGTTCCCTCTGGCATTCTTCTGCATTGCTCGTCAATTAAATTGCACCTCCTTTCTCTATCCCTCTTCCGCTGCTCATCAGTAAAATCTTACCTTCTTCCTCTGGCTCTCTGCCGCTCTCGCTCTCGTTGAGCTTGGCTTGCTTGCCGCCTACTTTCTCGTTTTCTTTGCCTATCTCTATCTCTATATTCCAAACTAGAGGACATAGTTGATTATGTAGAAAATACGGATGCAAAAACAATTTCCGTCAACCAACACGAAAAATTGCTTTTTGTTTTGAGTTGATTTTGCTGGACTAAGTTGTTTTTACTTCACAAAACGCGGGTGGCGATTCGTTTTCGCGCCAAAACAAAACTTATTATGCACACAGACTACCCAAAATTCATTGGTATGCCTGTGGTGCGGACAGACGGGGGGTCGGTCGGTGTACGGTCACTTGATTACCAAATTTTCCGGGATGGGTAGATTACCTTAGCTATGGGGCTCTGCCCACGCGCGCGTGTGGAGCTCTGCTATCAAGCACAGCTTTTTGGAGAGTTTGATGCCCGAACGAAATCAAAATAAACCAAATCATATTGAAAAAAAAAAATCAAACGTGAAAACTGAGTCAACTCTGGGAAAGCAACAGGTTAGGGAAATCCGACGAGTGCTGGATTCAGACAAGACAAGAAAGAATAATAATCAAGATGATTCCCAAGATGATTTCAACTTGCAGTTTTAAAACATTTTTCCTTGGTAAACAAATGCATTGACATTTTCACGGAGAATATTTATTTTAGAATTGCCTCCAAATATGGAAATGATAAAAGAAACGAGAATTAAAATCGCCTTGACTGCTTTCACACTGGATCAATATATTAACATACTTGCCATCAAGAGTTCGGAATTAGAAAGTTTGATTTTGTTCCACTTTGTTCGGTAACCGGACTCAAAGTTTGATTGACTTCAAAAATTGAATGATCGATTTTTTTGGTGAGTTTGATTTTGTTGAATGCCTGTGCTTCATCAAACTCTTTCATTCAAAACAGCTTGATCTACAACGGTTTGAAAACCTTGAACATTCAATGATATGCCCAATATTATATTTCCTAAAGAAAAAATTTTAGCAAACAGAGGCGAACTGACAGAGGAAAGACATGCAAATCAATAATTTAATATTGAAAAAAAAAATATCATGCCTTTTTGGTTTTCTCACATGTTGTATTTGTCCCTTGGTACTGAAGTTGCAAGGGAAACTAAAAAAAAAGCGACGGTCACAGTAATCAAATAAGGTCCTACAGCTGTAAGAGACAACAACACATGCTGAGCTATCGATTGAGTTAAGATACACCAGTTTTAACGCGTGGGGATATTTTATATGGGATATCAGATTATTATAGTTATAATGCTGATAAAAAATACTGGAGAAAGAGTGAAAGTTAGTGGAACTAAGTCTATTTTATAAAGCTGATAAATATGAGTGGCCTGAATAAACAGATGCACACTTCTTATGCTCTTCTGTTTATTACAGTCAGTTCAACACCTTTATAAATTCAAAGCAAAAGTTCAATGATCCTAAACCGTCAGTAAAAAAACAAAGCACAACTATACTGCTGAAAGTGCTTGTGTCTTAACTGACAACAACGCTATCAATTGAGTTAAGATAGTTAAGATACACCAGTTTTGCTGAGTGGGGATATGCGATATCAGATTATTATAGTTATGATGCTGATAAAAAATACTAGAGAAAGAGAGTCTGGAAGGGTGGGGGGGGGGATACAAATGTCAGGCCATTATTTTTGTCAGTTGTCAGTTACAGTGTACATGATTATTAATGATTAACTATGAAACTTATTGGTATATTTTTGATGCCAAATTAAGGCACATAAAATTATAATGTAAATTAAACATTAAATTTGAAAACTGATGCAATAGTACATTAATTTTTATCAGTTTTGCTATTGTAAACATTTCAAGTGGCCCTCCATATCTCAAGTCTTGCGTTACTTTCCTCCACTCGAATGTTTTTGCTGTACTGAACTTCAGAATATCTGAATGTTAATCTATCGGGGATGCTTTGGCACATGCAGAGAAAATTGGGGATTCACCGGCTGTGCGGTCAAAAATAATTTGCGCAGTGGTATTTATATCGATAAAAATGCATTGGATTTGAATTACTATTCCTATGTTGTGGAGGCCACATTAGAAAACAGATGTATGCATTTTCAAGACTACCATTATATAGTTCAAAAGGGCGCCTAAAAGATGTATCGAGTGTTGCCATCCTCTGACACCAACCTCGAAAATGAATTAACAGGTCGAAGCAACAGGAAGCGAGAATACGCCACCCGGACACAGTTTGATTGTTGAAATGAAAAGAGGTAAACAGAATCTTGAAAGAGTATATTTTTATCTACAGTTCTGTGTCTTTCAGCTTTTTTCATCATCATTTAAAACCAACTGAATGGCCATAAACCAGTAAGCCTCTTTGTTAAAAATATGGCTTGCATGACTGCCAACCGTTTATTGTTCCTACAGTACATGTATTTTTATTTTTCTTGAGGGATAGGTATGCTTAGCTTTAGAGGATTTTAAGAAATAACTGGGCTGCATTTGTTTTTACAAAAAGTTTTCACAAAGCCTTTCGCTTTGAAGGTTATGTTGTCTGTTTTGTCTCTGTTTATACTGCATGATTTCCTGTTGTCATCCGTCATGTGGTGGTCATCCTTTGCATTTGTTTGTAAACACTATAATATTATATACACCGTATCTCTATCTACCACTAAAAGTGATACATATTTATATTGAATTCCTTGCTCCTGAAGCACTAAGACAGCTAATGGTGTAGGTTTTGCAGTGTACTGATTTGGCCCGATTACCAGCAGCTGCTGTCAGGCAAACATTCAATGCAAGTTTAACTTACATAGAGGGATTTTCCCTTCAATTTAAACATGCTTGTGTAGAACTTAAGATCGTAGATTAGGACTTTTATTAGCAATTGGTGTCGTCAGTTAGCGAGAACGCAAGTTTTTGATTTCTCTTAACTTGTTTATCTAGTGGCAGTTCTGTTTGGGCAGAAATTTTCCATGGTTTCCTTTATAGTTGTAGAGTAAGCAAATGTATCATGCTCTTGTGGACCCTTGTGATCATTGTGTGAACAAGACACAAAACTTGAGAAACAAAGGGCTCCTCCCTCAGAATTAATTTTGTTCTGGAGACCAGGGCTCAACACCAACGGTAACCAACTAGCCACAGACTAGTAGAAATTCAGTTTTGGCTAGTAGGTTTTCGATTTCTACTAGCCACTTTGGCTAGTAAAAGAAATGAAATTGACCGACCTTCACCTTTCCAAGTAAGACATCTTGGAATTTCATTGTGGGCGTATCATGTTACGGGCACGTGCTGTTCAGCACATATGTAAATTTAACAGTGGCACGTAAACGGGTTCCTGAACATGTTATTATGTTGAAAGAAATATTTGACAAACAAGACAGCATTTTCTGAAAGTGCGCATCAATGTTCTTTTTTGTTACGAAATTAGCAGAACAAAACGTGAGCTTCCTGATAAAATCATGGGCAAAATCCTGCGGAAATATAAAGGGATAACATTTCATTTAGCTGACTAGACGTTACGTGCTCGCGTGAGAAGATCGCCCAGTTCACGCAAACACTTTTAAAACTTATAATTGAATTTACTAGTATAGTTATTTTTGCCAAGGCATCATGATTAAGAAATTTCACGCAGAGTTTCACGGCATTGCCAATGCTTTTCAAACATTTCTACGATGCCTGTTTGTGAAGACGTCTCAACAGTTTTTACAATGACGTCTCGGTGTTTCTTTTTTTTTCAAGGAAGTCTCAAAGAAAAACAGAGTCCTGAAAGTCTTATAGTACGGGAAAATCGCTGGATTTTTCTTTGTGATATGTCGGCCTGAGAGATTTGATGTGAGGAAAACTCGGGCCCATTGAACAAAATATTTAAATTGAAACCAGCGCAATTCATTGAGATGATTTTGGTTTGCTGTGTTTAAACCAGTCAAGCGTGACACAAGGTGTGTGCTGAAATTTCCGCTTTGGCGGTGGAGGTCTTGCACTTGCACCTTCTTCAGCGGGTTGTTTCTTTTCAGAACAATCGTCATTGCCTTTTTTCTTTTTTACCGCCATTGAAAAATCCTCTTTTATCCATTATGGAATTTTGAGAAAAACAAAAGAATCTGCATCTAAAACATAGTCATCGTGGAAATCTGACTTCCCATGGGTTATTCACCAAGATGGAAAAAAAAATTAAAAAGATTAAAATTAAAAATTAAAAAATTGACCCAGCCAACATCAACATTTGGCTAGTAAAAATTTTTTTTGGCTAGTAACATCTAACTTGTCACTAGCCACTAGACTAGTAAGTTGAAAAGTTAGTGTCGAGCCCTGGGAGACACGTGACCAGACGCAACCAGGGTCTCTCTCTCTTTCTCTCTCGCTCCGCAGGGACGGGTGGGAGAGAACCCTTGGAACAAGGTTGGGCAAGAACATTTTTGAATAATGAAGGGGTTTCCAATTTCGCTGACATGGAGGATTATAATGTTGAAGCAAAATGGACAATGGCTGAATGAAATAGCTGAAACACTCTTTCTGTTACTATACAAAGGTTTTCAGGTAGCTAAGATTAATTTTTGATTGTTCAAAAACGCAAGGCCTGAGAAATCTGCCAAGGAATAAGTCAAAGAAACAAAAAAACACTGTATGTATCAGAAGGGAAACTAAATAATTGTCTTTTGAATGAGACTCTTTTCACATAGTGAATATGGAGTGAATGTGGATTTTTTAAGTTGTAGAACTTCTTATCATTTGTCGTGCTATCAAAGAGAATCAAGAGCTCTATCTTATGACAAGTGCAAGTCTTTGCTCTTCCAATGAAACACTGAGAGAACTTTCTCTAGCAGATAATGGCAAAAAACAATGCAAACAGTTGATTGACATCCAAGAAGACTCAAGTTTCAATGCACAGAAAAAACCTAAGTTTCAAGGGTGTGGGTTATTGGGAACTGCTGTACAATGTAAAATCTTTGTTCTCAACATTATTCCTTGGTCAAACGCAAATAATAAAATGCTGACAGTACACACAACTTATTACATTAACTTAAGCTAGCATGAGGTCTTCTAACAATCCAGTATTAAACATCACTTGTCAGTCAACGAAACATTCATAAAACAAAGAGATACATGTAAACTCATTAGCAAATCAATGATCGATTCTCTGTGCTTTGAGTTACATACAGTGTACATAGCTTGGTTTTTCAATAAAAATGTCCATTGGAAGAGCTAACTAGTAAATTAGTCTCTCGTAAAGTTGATGGAGCAACCCATCCTTCTCTTGTGCTTTAATTTATCGCTGTCCAGATCAGAGCATGGGAATGGCAATGATGCTCAAGAGAAGCATCTTTAATTTCTACTTTTCCTTCTTCTTTTTAATGCTTCAGTGTACACAACTATTAAACCTCCATAATTATGTTTGAAAGCATCATGAATGTTGATGAAAGCATCCATATAAGGATTGTAAATCTCCAAAAGGGTAAGTGAAAACAGGACCCTGGACCCACGCAAGCTACAGCAAGAATGGTCAAAAAACAATGCAGAGTAGGTTTACATCAGCGAAACAACAAGTTTGCACATGTATCACACTTTTTCGTACATTTTATCGCTATCACTATACAGCTACCACACAAAACTTCCTAAATTGTTTCATGTTTTACATTTTTGTGTCTGTATGAATGACGCAACACAAAAATTTTGTTTTTGTTTCTCTGACCTTAGTATACATGTACAGTCCTTGAGATTTCAATGAGAGAAAAGCTTGCCAACATTTAGCAAATTGCACAAGGTGATGACTTTTGAAACAGTGCAAATTTACTTCTTAAGCCGTTGCTGTAGTGGTTGCCTATTTCCAAGAAGCCATAAAAAATTTTGATGCTCACAAGTACTGATCCTAAACGTATATTTAACGATATTTTAATACTGAAGTTCCCTGATATTTACAAATGTACTCATTACAAATTGGAAAGTTTATGCATTTTTATGAAATTGGCCTGCTTTCTAGTGTATTCAAAGAAATGTTTTTAATGGCAAATCAAGTTCATTCCTATATTACTAGAAATTCTAATAATCTCTACATTATTTCCTGTCCGAACAAATATAAGACTTTCTGGTATAAGATTTCAGGGTCCAAAATGTTTCAGTTTACAAAGTGCTGCTACATTGAAAGCATTTCTCCTTAGCTGATTCTCCAGTGCTCCAGTGATTCTTTAGTGCACCAGTTGTCATACGTTTAATAAAGTTACATGGACTTTTTTGTTGAACGGGCACCTAGAAATGTTGCTCGGGCTCCTAACTTCTTATTTTACGAGCAAAAAATTTTCTTAGGCAGCAGCCTTGATGCAATGTATTGAATGACTGTATTTTTCTGGCAAATAAATGAAATAAAATAAATTGAAGCTGAAGCTACAGTACCTAGTAACATAATCCCATGATGTGTGCACAACGCACTTACCAGTGTACTTCAAAATATTGTTGTCATAATAATTTGGGCTCTCATGCAACAGACTAAAAGTGTGTGAAAAACTGATGTCACACAACACATCAGAGATGTAACGTCAAGCTTATGGAATTCTCAAGTACTATGCAAGGTGTAGATTACAAAGAAAACAGAAAAAAGAGGCAAAGGCTTACACTGAAGCCCGACCAACCATTCAACATGATCTTTTTCTTGCATTTCTCTTGAAAATGTCTCTAAATTTTGTCCTTAGAGCTGCCAATTTATAATATTATTTACATTTTAGCTCATTGCATTGTTTTTAGTGGTAACAATGATTCTCTTATAAATGAAAAATGCTACCACAGCAGGAGAGGGAGAGGAGAAAACTTACATGAAACCTAACATTTACATTCGGATGTACCTGAATCACTTTGCTGGCGAACACATCGCACATTCCCATCCAACAATCAACTGAGCAATCACCTGAAAAAAAGCACTTTATTTGAGTGTCAAGGTACATTGGTTGCGTATTTAGCACGAAAGTACTAATTTGGGACACTATTTTTACGTTTCCAACTGGAAACGGGACCGCCATTTTACGTGGTCATCCGAGCCACGCGAAAGTCTAGCCGCTTGCACTGTAGCCTGAGTATCAGGCCTTCCTACGGGGTTAGGGGAGAGGAGATTTTAGATGGGGGAGGGGGAGAAGAGAAAGGAAGGCTTGACACAAATGCATTAAGCACATCGTGTGACACATCCAAAATCTGGATGTGGCAGTCATTGGATAACACACAATACCCCTTGACGTCACCGACCGCAAGAGCGATCGGCAAGGAGATTTTCATTGAAATTTTTCATAGATGTTTTGATTTCATGTTACCGGTATGTGATGCTTTTACAGACAGAGACGCAGAGAGGAATTCAAAAAGGCTCTAGAGGGCGCTCTCAAGTTCTTTCCTGGAATAAAAATAAAACCCGAGCAAGAATTGTGTTTTCAAGGCCTCGTAGTTTGAAGGAAACATGTACTCGAAGTAAGGAAAAGCCTCATATACCATCTTCGGCCGAAACTATGTCCAAGTATTGGTTTCACAAGACCGGGACAAAGAAGACGATATCAGTGTTTCAGATATCTAAGTTCAGATTTACAACATCCTGCCGTTAAAAGGGTATTATTACTGTAAATGAAAATAGAGCGAGGTAGCCATGTATTGAGATAGCCGCGGGGATAGCCGACAGCACCAATGCTTTTAAAAAGCTTGACTTTGCTTGTTGCGGTTACGATAACGTACGTGATTGGAATTCGTTCGCTTCCTCTTTCAAAATCTTCTCACTTTTGAAATGTCTTAAGCTCAAGCGGGCGCCATCATATTTCGCCAGCGGGATTGACCTTTGCTATAGGCTCTCACTTGTTTTGAACTTGTAACAGCTTTCACGAGCTCTCTGTGAAGTGGTGGAATCTGCTGCCGCTTGATAATTTCTAGGCATAGGTGTGTCACTATCGCACCTTCCTATATATTCTTACAGCTCCTTTCAACCACCCGAGAATACGAGGGATAACACCAGCTTTTTAGCTGCCAGACAAGCGCCTGATTTAACTCTGTAAACAAAAGCAATTTACAATTTTCCGGGCACACGTTTGTTTACAAACATAGCGTTGGCGATCTTACACTAGCACAATTCCTAAACCCTGTTATAATTCCTCATAAACGGCAGCTTTTACATTACAAGTATTCGAAAACTCCTCATTGGAGGTTTCAGAAAAAAGCGAAATCGTAGCAACACAAGCACCGGAGCTCGGCCCGACCGTTAATTGAGATTTATTTCAGGCGAGCTTTTTGACACGTGAAGCTGACAACCCAATGACCGGAAGTGATTTTGATTGGATGGTATCGAATCATGCTGTGTGAGGGTGGAAGGCTCCAGTAAAAGCATCTGTGTCAGGCGTTTCTTTCCTTCACCTCTCTTCCTTTTTCGCTTCCATTTTTCCCCTTTTCCCCAGAAACGCCTGATACTCAGGCTACTTGCACTGCAAAGGCAGTACCTTTATTTCTCAGTTATTTTAAGACACTGAGTATTAGTCCGGCCCCGGAAATCGAACCCGCGACCTCCTGCTCTGCAGTCAAGCGCTAATCTTGCTGCGCTGAGACGACTTCACTTTGATATTCTTCGGTGACTATAACGACGAGCACATACAGTTAATTTTAAAAATGATAAAGATATAATCGTAAATGGATTACCCTGCAAAATTCAGGGGGGAAAGTGATCTGTATAAGAAATCGGTGAGAAAGCGGCATAACTGTATACAATAGCTATACGATGTAGAACAAATTGGAAGCTTATTATGCATACTGGCAATGGGCGATATCTTCATCGAACAACTTTAGCTCCTAGGGCGTATCAAACAAGATCAAGATCACAGCAAATCATTTTTGACATCTCTGAGGTAAAAACTTTCCGAGAATTGCAAAAATCGCGATCTATCCGCCATGAAGCAGCAAGATGCTTTGCGCTAAAACGCACTGCGCATAAGCGAAAAATTCAACATCCGGTCACTTTTGTATTTCCGGTTATTGGGAAAACATAAAATTCCCGTCGCGCGAAATTTAAAACCAAAAAGCAAGAAACTAAAACAAAAGATAAAGAAAAAATTTGTTTCTTTAAAAAAATTCGTTCATTTTACGAGTTTCAGGTTTTTGCACCAACGCTGTAAATGGTGTTTGAAGTTTGTAGGTCGCTAACGCTCGACAAGACCAATTTGTTTTTGCCGGCTTTCTTCCCTGCCACTGGTTTGGCATTTGGGAGGGGACGATAACTGACCAGCAGAGAACAGCAATACTTATTAAAGAAGTAATGGAAAATTAAAGCTTCAATATACGAGAATTCAAATGATTACTTTATAACTCGGAAAACTATGTCTTAGCTTCAGTCGGGTTGAATTGCAGTGAATAGCTTCGTTTTCGTGAGAGAGTATACCTGCCACTCAAATCAGCCAAAATTACACAAGTTATTATCAACTTACCTTTTCTGAATCTAATGGACTAAATACTCCAGTGATCTTTACCTAGTTATCCATAAAAGCAATTTCAAAACAACAAAATGGTCAAAAATCCGAGCAACATGAAGCAGAACAACAAAACGCAGGCTGCACAGAGAATGAAGCCGAGCATGGGAGACTGCCTGGAAGGTGTGACCTTAAACTTGACGGGCAATGCTCAACCCGGAGCATGCGTAGACGTTTTGCCGGGGTGTTCTTTGTGCGCTAATACGTAATAAGTCTTAATTTGAAAATGGAATAGTTTTAATTTTGCATGAACAATCCGCCTGACTTTATCCTTCAACTTCGACGGACAGTTTGAAAACGGGATTATCCGTCCCAGATAGCCTGTGTACAGCCTCCTCTTTCCCTCAGAAAAAAAATCGGAGAGGGGGGTGTCTGTCGGGAAGGGGGCGACTGTACACAGGCTAGTCTCAGACGGATAATCCGTTTCTAGCTCTAGTGTGAAAACGGCCAATAACATAATTCCCGTGTCCAGTGTTTATAATGGTAGCGAAGGACTGTACGGAACCACTGTCAGCCGTTTTGCCTTGTCCGTAGGCCTTATTATTTCGCGCGGCTAATACGTTTCGGGTCACGTGGTCCGAGCGAGTTCGTCACCGAAATGCCTTGACCGAAATTGCGTGGGAAGACGCCGTACAGGGACTAGGCATGCCAATGTCTACCGTAGCGTCAGAGAAAAACAGGGAAATGTTGTTTATCGGCAACTTGTTTTACAAACAGTGAGATCTCTTCATGTTGTTTCACTAGTGTTTCGAGGGCACGACCTCCTGAAAATCGCAAATATTAATCCCCAGCAAGAAGCCACACTTTCGCTATGGAAAAAAAAAAAAAAGTTCCCCGAGAAAGCGGCCGACATGGAAATGGGTCTCGGTCTTCACCTAAAAGGCGCTTTACCTAACGTGCGTACGGAGCCACACTAGCCGGGAAATAAAAAACGCAACCATAAGTGAGTTTAGTACCTGAGCAAATCTAGGGAACAATTTCTTTTACGGTTAACTTTTTTTTACCCTATTTACGGCTAACGGTTAAAATGTTTCAATTTTTACGGCTATCGACTAAATTTTTGGCCGTTTTACGCCTATCGGTTAACCCGATTGAGACCCTCATGCACCAATTCACCTCCCAGCCGAGCCGAAGCGGAAGCAAAAAGCATCTTTAAGTTGATTATAAATTGTCGAATCCAAAAACATTGAAATTTTATTACTGAAGATCGTCAAACGTTTGGCGTCCTTCGTTTGGTTGACATCAAGTTTGAATTTATTTGATGGCCTGAGTTACCGCGTGACTTTGTGCGCATTGACATGCATTGCGTGGCGCGCAACAAGATTTTAAAACTTTCGTGCATTTCTGGGATTTGACAATCACAAACGTAGGGTTTTGGTCCGCTAGTTATTCAGCTTATCTAGTATTTACTAAAACAATTATTCTCCTACGTTTTGGCCTGAAAGTGGATATTTAATGTACATTAACTTCGCCGCTTCGCGGTTCTGAATTTACCACACCACTATTCCTCCACTTTGGTGAATATTCGCTTAGTATGGTGTTTTATTATAACATTTAACGGAATTACCCAGAAGGCAAAACGACTGTAACATTGCTGTTTGCATAATTAAGCAAAAGGGTTAAGAACAAGAGAGAAATAAGCACTTCTTGCGTGTCCTTAGTGTTGCTAACAGTGCTTCTAAGACTAAGCAATGTAGGAGGGACAAGATTTCCATTTACCGTAAAATTCCGAAAATAAGCCCCAGGGCTTATATTTTTCAAAGGCCCTTTTTTGAGGGGCTTAGTTTTGGAGGGGCTTATATTCGGAGGGGCTTATGTACGGAGGGGAATTTGCGTTTCAAAATCGATTGGGCTAGCTTGTAGTGGGAAGGATTTACCATACTTTGTATTCGAGGGCAAATTCCATGTACAAGCTCCCCAGGGGGCTTATATTCGGAGGGGCGATTTAACGGAGGGTTTTTTTGCGTGACGATTTTGGGGGGCTTATACTATAAGTATGGATGGACTTATACATGGAGGGCCTTTTTTTCTGAATTTTACGGTACTTTATCAAGTGGTTCATCCCTAGTTAAGGGTCGTACTTGTGCCAGAGACCCCGTGCAACAGCATTTCTTCAGTGTCCCATACGGTATCTCGACTGAAGCACACGCATGGCATATAGGAAAGGAACATACCAATTTAATGAACTCCTGCACACCAACCATGACACATTTTGTTGAACATTCTACGCGGCTGTATGACTGTAAAAGTTAAATTATGGATAGTTTTTACAAACTGGCGACCGAAAATGATTTTTGTTTCTGTTTATCTCACACATATTAACTGTGATTTGTTTTCCTGCAGGTATTTGAACAACAACGAGCTCAAGACGCTCCCGTCAGGAATATTTTCAGATCTCTCTTCCTTGTGCGAATTGTAAGTAAACGACGCATCAGTCTTCTCTTATATGACTCTCGTAATAGGATCTAAAGACCTCTCGTGGTACTGGCCCCGGGAGGGTAATTGGGTTAATCTTACCGGGCTATGTGCCGCTGGCCTCTCAGAGCCCCTACCTCATTATAGTCTATTTTTTGGCCAACTATAGAGCCCATCTTAGTCACTTTTTGGAAATGTAATTAATTTTTGGCGATTTCAACTTCGAATTCACTTTCACTTTCTATTTATGCTTCTACCTTATCAATGTGGTTTCAAGCGGCGGAATGTAATGCGGTCGATGCGAGCTTATTGTTAAATTTAATGAACAACAACTTTCTGATCGTGATTTTTTTAACCGAGAATCTTCCCATTTTGAATCCCTGTTACCCCCAAAATCCGAAAATTTACGACCCCATCCTAGTAACTCTATTGAAAATGCGACCCCATCCAGCGGAAAATCCGCATAAGCCTCTTGTAAGGAAGTACCCCCCCCGGGGGGGGTACTGGCGCGCAAATGAACAAGAGTGGATTCATTACCCTTACGATGTCGCTATTTGCTTTCGCTTTTTGCTAACTTTTTAAATTCGAGGTAGGTATTATCAACCGAGCCGAATGCCAAGGCTAATAACACTTACCGAGAACTATACCGGATATTCACAAAAACCGAATCGAGTGATTGTTGAATTATACATTGCTCTAAAGAAAACAATCGACAAACACACCGTCCTGACCGTCGCACGGACCACAGTTTAACATTGCTCGTGGAAATGATACATTGCGCGGAAACCTGCAGATTAGTCAGTTTAAATATCTTTTTTTGCAGATAACTAACACATGATCTCACGGTGGATTGCGCTGATTTCAAAAATGAACTGAAGGCTTTTATAGAATGAGAAGAAAGATAGTGAACGCAATGTTACCAATAACGTGCATGAGTGTTATTGTTGTTGTTGTTTTGTTATGAAACTGTAAAATGTGCTGGGGTTTCACTTACGGAAAGAAAGCGAGCCGAACAGTAAAACTCAACACAAACTTTAATTAAATGTCCGACCAAACAAATGGTAAAAACGTATCAATTTTGCAAAATTGCAAAGTACGGGATCTAAAAGAAACAAAAAAAATGGTGGCAAGCAAAATCTATTAGAAAGATTCATATTTAAGACTAGGGCAAGTAAATTAATACAGTGTGTACGCATGTCATGGCTAAACAAAACAATCAATTTTTAATGGCTGCGATTACTGAAACAGAGGCAACCAACGCCAATTTTCGGAAAATATCTGTTCGGAAGACGATTTGAGATCTAGAATTTTCGGAACATTTGTTGTAAAATTTCTTGCTTGCGTGCCTCTTGCCCATTTTTAACGGATTTTTACCCTGAAAAGGTCACCTAGAATTTTCGGGAGCCTTTTTTCTGGCTGAAATTTTCGAAAAGGTAAGCTTTGATCCCTATAATTTTCGGATCACTAGACTTTCAGCTAGGAAATCCGAACAGATGAAAAATTTTTAGGGGATAAAAATATGCCTATATCTACCGTTTGAATACTAAAATACGTTCAACAATGTTATGTTTAAGTGGTTTTGAACTATATTCTCGTTGGGTGCCCCTGCTGAAAGGAAATTCTTCCTCAGTTTTTGCTGATACAGTGCCTCAGGAGAAAAGAAGGAGCTGTCACAACATACGGATTGGATTTAAATTCTGGAATTATACACTTATATAAATAATGAAAAGACCAGCATTTTAAGATCATTGGAGAAGACTTCTACGCATTCCGAGTAATTGAAACAAAGCTTTCCAATGTTTATACAACTATGTAGAACCCGAGAAACACTTTTTCTGTACGTCTTTCGCGGCTCATCGTCCTAATTTTTTCAACTTTCTTAGTTAGATTAACGAGAAAGCTCAAAAAACAAGTAGGGTCTGTGGGCAGACAACTTGTTCTTGAGGGTAGCTTGTTTGATAATGACATATTCCTTGAATTATATTTCTTGTTTGAAATAATCCTGCACTTGAAGCATTCTACATTTTTTTTTTGTTATGGAAAAGATTGAAAACTTAGCACGAGAGTATGGGAATGTAATGAACTCGATCTGCCGATTCATTTGCAAACGGGTTTATGTTATAGAAACTTAAGTTTTTAAATAAAAGTGAGAGGTCCCCATAGTCATTTAGGAGCAGCACCAACTTGTATATACGCAGTAATTCCCTAAAATACTAATATGTATATTTACGAGTACAAGCTTTGAACACGCTTCCGACGATTTTTCCTTTTCTACACTGAAAATTAATTTCTTTCTATTCTAGAGAAATGAAGTTACTGCTCACTTTACAAAAAGATTAAGAAAAATAGGTCACCATACTCGTTTAAGAGAAAATGAAGATTGACCTCTCTGGGGAGCTGCAGTCTAAACGTTTTAATGTTCGCACCCTAATCATGCGTAAAAAATGCGCATTAATGATGAAAAACTAAGCAAGAGCCTTTCAAATACCCATAAAAAGGAGCACTATTTACCTTTTGAATTCTTTCACTACGTTGTCCTTCTAATCAGTCGATAGCACAAGGCAAGAGAAACGCCAACGGATTCGAACTTCTTGGCAGGAACATGAAGGACAACAAAACAAGTGCAACTTTAATGGAATTGATCACGAGGCCGCCTATCGATAATCCCGAGAAAATTCCCTCCGAGATTGCAGGGTTGTTGAGATTGCCTGTAATGACGTGGGGTATTTTTTTACCACGACTAGGCGGTTTACCTGACCTACGCTCAGGGTTCATCAACTTCCCCCACATAAACAGCTCCTAAACGTTTTCAAAAGCTACACCTTCACTACTTCCTGTAAGTTAGAAGTTTCCGAGTTAGTTCAGTTTCCGAGAGGGCCATAAATTATTATTTGAAAGTATCTCATGGTTCCAGATGTTCTTCTGTTTTCTTCTTGCCACTCCAAAAACTTTGAGCCGCTAAGCGATGACAACAACGTAGCGCACAAATTAAACGAAGAAAGAAAGTATCGGCGCCGTTTTCAAGATGAAATGTTGTGTCACCGCGCCAGAGCGGCAAATCTCCACTAACAGGCTCATGCTTAAAATCAGCAGGTAAAGATCAGACGAGTTGCAGGAATTTTAGATTGTAAATCAAACAATTATTTGTGTAGACACAGTTGGTAACACCTTGCCCCAAGGACCTTTCCTTGTCCGCTGATGTAAACAAAAGATAGTTTCTGTTCCAGCCATTCTTGTATCAGTCCTTAGGTATACTGCACGTCTTACTTTCGATCTTCCACTGATAGCTTCCTAAATGGTGGGCAAGTGACCGGAACTTTGTTGTATTCTAACATGTGTAGCTCTTTTGGACGGTAAATTTAGAACTTGGCGTACCGCGTGTTATTTAAATGGTGATATAGATTGGGTTAAAAAGCGTATGAGGTGTTAATTAATTTTTCCTAGTTTTTAGAGGGTGGCCCTCCCCAAGCTACAAACAAATTAGGTCTGACTCTCCCAATATTGTATATTTCTTATTGATGACCCTCTCTTTTGAATCCCCGCTCTCCCTACCCACTCCCAAAAAGGTACTTTTCCTAGAATGAATATGACTGTCGGTGCGCTTTTGAAAAAGAGGAACGTGAACTTCTACTTTTACTTTTGTCACCTCATAACATGTTCTTGTTTCTTTGCCCTTCTGTTGTTGTTGTCTTTCTTTTTGGCGTTGTTTTTGGTTTCATTATTGCCCGTCTTCCCAAGTTCCCGAACAAACTGAACCGAGAGCAAAGCTTTCGTGTTAATTTGGACTGCAATTCTGATGAATATTTCAAAACGGTTGTCACTTGAGTAGTTAAGTACCTCGTTAGAATTAAACATCGCCTGTAATTGATCAAGAAAAATGAAGGCGTATTTTTTTCAGAATCCAAAACATTTTTGGAGTTATCATAAAGCTTTCCTGCACCCCTGAGCCAAACCAAATTCGGCGATAACCTATAAAATGGCATCGCGGCTACGACACCAGTTGAAACAACGCATCTTTTTAATTCTTATTTTTTTTCATTTTCATCAGTCTTTACTTTAGCTATTTCTGTTCTTTCACAACAGCATAAACCAGTTATGCAAATTCGCGATATATCGCTTGTCTAAAACACTCCTCCGTGCCTCCTACAAGAATGTGGTAAGCAAATTGCACCTAGCTTTTGCGGGGGTTTTATCTCTCCTTCCGAACTTCTCGCATCACCCCTGAATGGAAAAAAACCAATGTCACACCAGTGCATACAAGACTCTATGGAACAGACTGAAAATAATAGGCCTATTTCCTTGTTATGTATTATTAGCAAAGACTTAGAAAGTTGTGTCTGTATTACACTTAACAATCATGTCAAACAATTCACCAGTCCTCTCCAGTATGACGTTTTTGCGAAATCGGCTTCTGCACTACACAACTGCTATCTATCTTAGTGCCATTGGTCAAAACCTGGAAAAAATACTCAAACAGATATTATCTACTTGGAGTGGGTTAAGGCTTTCGATTCCATTGATCACTAAGTTATGCTTCAAAATCTCAAAAGATATGGTGCGGAAGGCGACACACTTCTTTGGTTCACAGATTACCTAAGTGTCTAGTAATCGACCCCAAGTTACATCGGAAGTTCCTCAGGGCAGCCTACTTGGTTCAGTTCTATTTGTTTTCTTTATTGAAAAGTTACTGTGTGTGCATGAGGAGAAGGATCTGGGTTTAGTTATTTTGGACAAGCTTACCTGGGACACACATTTACACCTGATTACAGCAAAAGCAAATAATCTGCTAGGTTTGCTTAAGAGATCAGGTCCCATGTTAACTAAAGTGGCAGTAAGAAAGTCGCTATAATAATCAAGCGATTATGAAACCTCACAGAAATCAAGTCTCTTGCTCAGAAGTCACTAAAACTTGAGGTTGAGCAAGTAAGAAACATGCCACCAGATGGATTTTAAGCTTAAAGACAGGCCAGATGTCATATGGGGAGAGACTGCTTGCCTTGGATATGCTGCCTCTTACTTACGATAGAGAAATTATATAAGGATCTCGTTTTATTTTACAAAGCCAATACTACTATATTGAAATAGGCATTACTAATTATGTAACCTTCAACAATTATCCACTTGGGCGCGAGAAAAGGGGGCGGCAAGAAAAAAGAAACACTGCGTGCCTCTTCTGTCTCGCGCCTTCAGTCACGCACGTGGTCATTTTCGCGTCTCGCGCGTTCTCGCTCGACGGACTACGAAAAAAGAGAGACTGCCCGTAGTATACAACAAAACAGCAGGTCATGTACTTCTCGTTGTGAAACGCAATCCCCTCCCACCTTCCCTTATGGCTGTTTAATTCTCCTCGCTTACTTTCTTACTTTTTTAAAAAGATATATATATTTTTTCTTGCTTAAAATTGAAAAGGTGTTTCTCAATTTCACTCGTTTGCTGCGCTGACTCGTTGGATTACTGATACATACCATACAAAGTACTTTCCATGTGGTATTGTGTTATTATATACATATTGAGAAGTTCATTATTTTGCCAGCCTTTTAATTCAAATCTTTCCAAAATATGCCGCTACACACCCCGAAATTACAAAGAAAACGAAGTGTATTAAATAGTATTATTATTCATTCAAAATATTTCCCCGATTCTGATTGGCTAAAAGCACACGTTTAATTCACCATAACCAGTTACTGATGACCAAATTTGGAAGAATTTTGACTTTAACGAGGAAATGACGTCAAAAATGCAGCGTTTTCGCAGGTCAAGGCACCGTTAACCGAGAAGACCTGGGGACGAGGTTGAGTTGTTTTGGTTGTTCACTCGTTTCAAGGGTAAGAACTAGGCGAAAAAATAGCTAAAAACATGGCAAGAACAGCAAGAAGACAACTCGAAGGGCGACATCTGCTACTTGGAGAATATTTGTGGATCTGGACAAACTTAAACGTACACTATCGAAGATGAACTGACCATCGATGGATCGATGGAGGTAAGCATGTTTTAGCTATGTTTTTAAACTAGGAATTATTTTGAATGAATAATAAAACAGTTATTGAATTCGGCTTTCGTATCATATGAAGAATTATGGAGATCTCGGTGGGTGTTATCCGCCTCGGCCTACGGCCTCGACGGATAACATCCTCCTCGATCTCCATAATTCTTCATAAGATACTCAGCCTCATTCATTAACTGTTAATTAAGAAACGCTCGGTAAAATTATAATGAGGGTAAGTATGAGAAGTAGTCCAGGAATTTAAAGTAATATTAACTTTTTTTCTAAATGTACAATTAAAAATGAGATTTTAGGAAAAATGACTGCTTAAAATATAAATAGAAGCATATAAACTCAGCTCCGACAAAAAGAACAAATATAAGTTAACCGTCTCGTTCTGTTTTTTCCCTTTCGTTGTTGATTTGCCAGCGGCCTTCAATTTTCCTTATCGATAGTGAAATATACAAAACTATTACAATCCAATTTCCAAGATGTTTTTCACTTTTTATTGCATTCTCTCGTTGAATTTTGGCGCGAAACGCACACACCTCTGTGGCTTTTGATTGGACGTATCATTTTTCTCACACTTGAAAAAACATCGTTCGCTATTGTGATTGGACGTATCATTTTTTTTCTAGCTCCTCTGATTGGTTAGAACTCATTTGCGTATGAAGATTTACGTCATAGCTTTTCAGTGATTATATCTCAGTATGTATACACTGTACAGGGGGGACCTGACACTGTATAACAAAAAAAGATACGTGTGGAGTTGCGCTCCATTACCATCCTACCCAACAGTATTTTTTGTATCATTCTAAAAAACTGCTGCCCGTCATCGTAACGGGGCTAGATACTTGAAAGCGAGCTACTTGAAAACTGCAAAATAAATATCAAGTTCGTGTTTGTGTGATCAATGCGACGATTAATACGTTGATGGAATGGTTGCATCGGTGATACGAAAATACTCATGTTAAGCTCGTGGGTTGTTTCTTTATCATTCACCATTTAAATACCTTTAAAAATAGAAAAGGTTTTATCAAAATTCTAGTTTATAGTTCCGTCACTGGTATTATAATCAAATTTATGTAATCTTTTTTGCTCTACATGTCAGAGTGTACCAAAAGTTCGTTCCTCCAATTTCATGCGCTATACCACTACGAGCCTCAGCGCTCCGGAAGTTAAAAAATTCGTACCGTCTGGTTGCTATGAAGTGACGTAATCATCCAGTTGAGTATCCATCACCGTAACACTTTTGCGGTCAACTACTGCAGCGCTCGTAAAGTACTTTAATTAAAACCGTGTTCAAAACCCTGTAGGAAGTCTGTTTATTTTTGAGTCGATTAATGCACTGCTGACTTTCACGAGGTCAACTTTTGCATAATTTATCAAACATTATGTTAAGCGGGAAATCTACCTATGGTTCGCGGGAGAAGCAACTTCTATAGCGGCGCAAGACAAATGTTTCGAGAGTCGAGGATGTGCTCACAAACTATTCACTATGCGACGAAAGGAGAAATCACTGGCATGATAGCTGCATGTAATGGTAATTTTATCAATCCAGGTCGCGCCGTGTTCGCTCGAGAACGCTGTGACAATCTCGTTTGGCGCGCTTCTCAATACTTCCAAAACATGTTGTAATCGGTAAGTAGAATTAAGCACTTAGTATCGCCAAGCCATTCGAATCAGTGTATACCCAATTCTTTGTCTGAAGATTCTCGCAAACACATATACCAAGTAAATCTGGATGGAAGAGGAAATTGTCTCCCTAAACGCAGCCAGATTATATTTTGAAGGATGGCGGCACAATTCAACACGTCTTCCAGGTCAGCCCTAATTTATAGTTCGTAAGAGTGTAAATTGCGATCTCCCTATTTTCGCTTAAGCTTTCTTTGATAAAACTTCAGTACAAACAAAACAACGCAGACATGACATTCTCCTGCATGAGACACAATCGGCTGAAGGAAATATCTGTTTACAAGTCGAGTAAATTATCCATTCTTGCGCACCGCAAAATCAGCTAAAATCAGTCGCTGGAAACCTGGCATATTATTAAGCCTGAGCGCTTCTAAGAATAACACGTTTAGAACTTCGACGCGTAGAAAAAAAAGGCAGTTGTTCTATATCCTTTCTGGTTCATCCAGGTAGAAGTCCTGGCATGATATAATTATGCCTGAGCGCTTCTAGGATATATAACACGTTTAGCATTTCGACCCGTAGCCGTAAAAAAAAATTTAGGCAGTTGTTCTATATCCTTTCTGGTTCATCCAGGTAGAAGTCCTGGCATGATATCATTATGCCTGAGCGCTTCTAGGATATATAACACGTTTAGCATTTCAACCCGTAGCCGTAAAAAACAATTAGGTAGTTGTTCTATATCCTTTCTGGTTCATCCAGGTAGAAGTCCTGGCATGATATCATTATGCCTGAGCGCTTCTAGGATATACAACACGTTTAGCATTTCGACCCGTAGCCGTAAAAAAAAAATTAGGCAGTTGTTCTATATCCTTTCTGGTTCATCCAGGTAGAAGTCCTGGCATGATATAATTATGCCTGAGCGCTTCTAGGATATATAACACGTTTAGCATTTCGACCCGTAGCCGTAAAAAAAAAAAAAATTTAGGCAGTTGTTCCATATCCTTTCTAGTTTATCCAGGTAGAAGTCCTGGCATCATTATCATTATGCCTGAGCGCTTCTAGGATATATAACACGTTTAGCATTTCAACCCGTAGCCGTAAAAAAGCAATTAGGTAGTTGTTCTATATCCTTTCTGGTTCATCCAGGTAGAAGTCCTGGCATGATATAATTATGCCTGAGCGCTTCTAGGATATACAACACGTTTAGCATTTCGACCCGTAGCCGTAAAAAAAAAATTAGGCAGTTGTTCTATATCCTCTCTGGTTCATCCAGGTAGAAGTCCTGGCATATTATTATGCCTGAGCGCTTCTAGGATATATAACACGTTTAGCATTTCAACCCGTAGCCGTAAAAAACAATTAGGTAGTTGTTCTATATCCTTTCTGGTTCATCCAGGTAGAAGTCCTGGCATATAATTATGCCTGAGCGCTTCTAGGATATATAACATGTTTGGTATTTCGACCCGTAGCCGTAAAAAAAAAATTAGGCAGTTGTTCTATATCCTTTCTGGTTCATCCAGGTAGAAGTCCTGGCATATTATTATGCCTGAGCGCTTCTAGGATATATAACACGTTTAGCATTTCGACCCGTAGCCGTAAAAA